AGTAAGTTTATTTCACTTTTCATTTTCATTTTTACCCTCAGGTAATAAAATGTGGCTATTTTAGTGGATAGCGAACAGCAATATGTATGCATGTGGGTAACTTGTGTACGTAACAGAAAAGAAGGCAAGCCTTTCCCATCACTACCTCGTCTTCATCGACACATGAAGGTAGGAAAAACTTTTCATGATCTCATTTTAGTGCACTATTATTGATTGATTCTGTAATAGAATGTGAAAGTGCTTTATGTTTATGATATTTTGATGCTTTTACAGGAGAAGCATCTTGCTTCGTCGATGAAAAATGTTTATCCGAATCAGATAGGAAGAAATTTCTTCAAACTTTCAACTCAGCCAAATACCGGTGGCGAGGCGGTGGGTGTTTCTATAATATCTGATGATATAGTTTCCGCTAACTAGCTGTTTTTTCTTCCAAAAAACCGTATCTTTTCTCGTGCAGTTAGGGTGATAAGGAAATTATTTTTTGTCGTTTTAGGCTAGCAGCCTTGTTCACATCCCATATGGGCGAGGTATTGGTCTCCAAACACCCCAAGCAGCGACTGCCTCCCAAACTCCCCATGTCAATGGACATGTAAATGCAATCCCTCCTCACCTCAATGGCGAACATCACTACCCCGTAAGTTACCCTGAACTTTCCTTGGTTGTGCTGCTCATTGAGAAGAGGTTTTAGTCACCAATACAACATCAACAACCTCCCAATGCTCAAATGACTCCCCAAGTCGCTCATCAAGCTACGCCTTCGTGTTCACAAGCACCTATGGTAAGGAGCCAATTCGTGAGTGTTAGCATGAATTATCTTTCAAGGAGTGATTATTAGCACGATTTTTTTTTCTAAAAATTGATTTTAACCTCTTCTAGCCGTCATCGTCGGTGCAACCACCAATCACTGATCCAGGACGCACGATCGTCAAAGCTCAGGTTGCAGAGCCTGTATTTGTGGCCCCACCATCATCTGTACATGCGCGGCGAGTCTTACATTCGGAGACATATCTTAGGTAAGTGAAGAAGTGTTACAAAACTCGTTCATGGGAGTATATACTGAGAATTATGGTAGTCAGTGCACAAGTCGATTTTTACTTGGATGTTTGATCGGAATTTTCTGGACATCCAAAGAACAAACCTCCCGCAGCCGTTCG